CATTCCTGCAAAAAAATTGTAAAACAGTTTTCATACCTTTCTACTTCGCCCATGTGAAGGTACCTCTATATAAAGTTTAGGAAGTAGTCTATATCGTATAATCTGGGGCTTTGTGTCTTTCGGTAAAACAGACTGCTATGTTATGTGTGTTTTCGAAAAAAAGTTTCATGATATCAAATTAATTAATGACAAATCTAACTAGACTAAAAACAAGTAATAGGTAAAAAAACATTAAGTTCGTCCGGACCGAACCTTAAATACCCTCCACCATTAGGTAAGGAAAACATGTTTATATAAAAGTATCTGAATTCACACGTGTTCACACAAATACCAGTAAGACCGCATGGATAATGCTGTTAAACTTTTCAAAAAAAAAAAAAAACCATAAAGTGAGTGAGGCCATACCAAATCGGGAACCTCTATAGACAATTTTATAATTCAAGGATTATCATCTACCAAATCTTCTTAAGTACCAAGTTTGAAACAATTTCGTGGTAAATATGACTAGGATTATCAAAATACCGAGAATCGGTGGGTATCTTTACCCATTTGAACTACAAATAACCATTTGAACAATAAATGCCAATTTTTAGACAAATTCATGGAAAAATGTTGCAAAAATCATCAAAAATACAGAATATGAGGAGGTACTGTTACATAGGGGCTATAGATAAACGTGGATCTATACACACAATGTTTTGCCACCGGAGCTAGAACCCATTATGACCAACAAATGCCAATTTTTAGACAAATCCGTGGAAAAATGTTGAAGAAATCGTCAAAATGCCGAATATCTGGAGGTAACGTTATATGGAGGCTATACGAAAACGTGGACCTATATGTACAATGTTTCGCCAACGGATTTCAAATCCATTATGAACTACGAATAACAATTTCTAAACAAATCCGATGAAAAATGTGGCACAAATCATCAAAATACCGAATATCGGGAAGTACCTTAATGTAGGGGCTATACGTAAACGTGGACCTATACGTATTTCGCCACCGGAGCTAGAACCCATTATGACCTACAAATACCAATTTTTAGGCATATCCGTGAAAAAATGCGGCGAAAATCATCAAAAACCGAATATCCGGAGGTACTGTTATATGGGGGCTATATCAAAACGTGGACCGATATATCTCATTTTTCATCCTAGACACAATACAAATTGTTGTGTCAAATTTTGAAGCTCTATGCCAAATAATGTGAGCTGTATCGTGATTTCAACAGACAGACATACAGACCGACATCGTTAAATCGACTTAAAATTTTATGCTGATTATAAATATATGGTTTATGGGGTCTACGACGACCTTTCCAAGGTGGAGGGTATAAAAATTATCGCACGTAAATGCCCAGTGGTGAACATTGTTTAAAGCTTTCGTGTAATGGGTTTTAGAAAATTACATGTATATTTACATACACATGTGTCTATGGACGTACATATATATTTTTTATCGGGCTATCGTATTGAGAGTTAAAAAATTATAATTGTCATTATTCTAAGACAAAGCCTGTTATTTCTATGATTATTGTTAAAGGTCAATGTTGTCTGACCAATAACTCATAACAAATTGTATATCATATGATCATAAAAACTAGCTTATTTGCACGGAATTTAAATTATTGCTTTAATTTATAATTGGAAAACAATTTTTTCGATGAATTGTTGATTAAATTAAAAAAAAAGTTGTTGTCATGGATTTAGATCTTCAATTGTACTAAAATTATTCCCATTCAAGTTTCGAACCAATTTATAATAAAACATTACAATAGGAAAATTGTGTTCTGTTATTTTTCGGGCAAAACCCACCCTTATTCCAATTGGAATCATTTCAAACGGAAAGCGCCAAGTATTTACTTTTTCAAATATAACCCTCAAAATTGTCCAACTGTTTACTTCTCTAGCAGAGACAACTCTGGCCTTTAGTCAAACTTGGCAGTATTGGTGTTATGTGAGAATACTGGTTTCATTTTTTGTTTGTTCTTGGGAACAGTGAAAAACGTAAAACTCACCACACCTTTTTAATTAGCCGTTATGGTTGCCATGTCTTGTTAAGTTTGAATGCTAGAAGCCGGTAATAAAATTGTAGTGACGTTTGAGGAGTAAAAACCTATGCAACTTCTTTTAGTTTTAAAAAAATTTGTGTGATTTGAACTTTATGGAATTTGCTGAAAATGGATTAAATGAATATACATATTAAATACGATTAGCATATTTCCCGTCTGAAATTTCTAAAGTCCTTCAAAACGTTATTCCTGGGTTGGAGTTTCTTGGCAACATACTGATATGGATTGCTTGAAGAAGGAAATAGTATTGTAGAATATTAGCACTACATCTTTGGGATTTCGTTCGTTCTAAAATTAAATTCACATTTTTCTTTCATAGTTCGAGAAATGATTTTTTGTTGTTGATTTTGTTGGTGACAGCACTAATTGTCTGTTATTTAAAAAAAATCCAAGGTGTCGCCCAGATAGTTTTTCAATCTGTGTTAACATCTGTGCGGACATCTGCATCTGGTGGTTGTTAAGATATTTGCGATAAAATATTTTTAAGACATGACAAAGATTTTTTAAAGTTTTTTTCTTTTTTTGGAGAGAAAAAAATTGAGAACACGAGAAGACAAAAGTCGGATTTCGCCTCTTTTGCCTATTCCTATACAGAACGTCAACATTTAAATTAGCCTGACTACAGGAGTAGATGTCAACAATATTTCTCATTTTTTGTAGGATAATTTGACAATTTTTATTCGTTATTTGAAAAACTATTAAACTGATAAAGAAGAAAGTTTTTTTATTTTTTTAAATTTTTATGCATTGCTCCAAAATCTGCAATAAACTACTATTTTTGAAATTTTTATACCCTCAACCACACGGCTATAGAGGGTATATACAGGTTGAGATGAATAAATTGCAACCAACTTCAAACTGCTGTCATTTCTAAGCCACTGTCAAAATTATTCCAGTGACAGCTCATTATATTGTTTACAAGCGTACAAAAGAATTTTGGTGAGATTTTTCCAGAAAAAAAGGTATTCGTGATGGAATTCAAGCGTGATAGTGTGTTGTCTTTAAATTTGGCTGGAAAACCACAAGTGGCTATCGTTAGAGCACTCCAGCATTTAAATGTGAATAAATCTTTTGTGTCTCGTACCATCGCTCGTTACTGTGATACTGGTAGGGTAGCCCGACGTAAAGGAAGTGGAGGGAAGAAAACAGCAACATCAGCAGAAATGGTTCGAAAAGTAAAGAAGCGATTTGATCGAAACCCACGTCGCAGTGGCCGAAAAATGGCTCGTGAGCTAAACATATCGCAATATTCCATTCGGCAAATATTGAAAAATGAGCTAGGGGCAAAGCCATTAAAATTCCAAAAAGTGCAAGAACTTACACCGCAACAGAAAGAAAATAGACTCAAAAGAGCTAAAAAGTTGCTTCGCTAGGCCGGCCGAAAGTGGTGAACTGCCGTATTTGGTTTTCTCCGATGAGAAAACATTCATTGTCCAGCAGTTTGTAAACAAACAAAATGATCGTGTTTACTTGCCAAAGGGGTCAGCTGAAAATGTGCACCTTGGGTTGGCCACCACAACTCAAGCGCCGGCCATGGTGGTGGTGTGGGCCGCCATAACAGCCAATGGTCGCTCTCCGCTCGTATTAATCGACCGTGGCATCAGAATAAATGGCGAATATTATCGCGAAAATATTCTGGAGGGTGTATTAAAGCCTTGGACACTCAAAAATTTTGGCCGCAGACCTTGGACATTCCAATATTACTCAGCACCATTGCACTCAGCACCCGCCACACAAGAATGCTTACAAAATGAGGTTCCTCGCCTCATTTCCAGCGCACAATGGCTACCAAAATCTCCGGATACGAATCCGTTGGACTATTGTGTCTGGAGTATTTTGGAAAGCAAGGGTGGCACTAAAAAATACCCAAGTGTCGATCACCTCAAGCAAGCGCTTCGCCGGGAATGGGTCAAAATACCGCAGAGCAATATTCGGGCAGGGTGTGGCGGTTTCATTATACGTTTGAAGGCCATAATTCGTACCAATGGTGACCAATTCGAACAAATCCAAACTTATTCTAAAATTTGATACTATTTCCGACATATTTTGCTCTCATTCAATAAAATTAAAAAAAAAAAAATAAAATGATGCTCTTTGTTTTTGTTGCAGTTTTTTTTATCTCACCCTGTACATTTGAGTAAAATTTTATCAACCTACTTCACTTCGTTAGGAAGCTAGAGTGATTTCCACAGACGGACAGACGGATAGACATCGCTAAATCGACATAGAATTTTATGCTGATCAGGAATATATAGATTGTGGGGTCTAAAATGTATATTTCGAGGTGTTACAAACGGAATGACTCTCTTAATACTATGGTAAAGGGTATAAAAATCAAAAAGTATATTTTTTCAATTAACCTATTGATATACATACAAAAAAATATATATGGAATCTAAAAATGCAAATGATCACTTTTGTCGGAAAATGAAATTCTATTTAATTGGTGCTCTTATATGCGGAAGTTGGAACCGCATTTTTTTTAATTTCTGCAAATCGCAAAAGTTTAATCTCAGACCTTTTTTGGAAAATTGTGATTTCTTATTCTTACAAAACAGTTGGCAACCTTGAACACAAAATGTTCCCAAATAATGAGAGAAGCAGCTTTTGTATGACAAAATAGCGAGAAACGCGAAGAGAGCTGGCCAATGAGTTTTGGCTGAGTGCGAAAAAGGACATACACCTGACATTTACTGTTGTAACAACGGCAGTTACGGACGTGCGTTAACGGATTGTTAAGTTCTTGTGGAATTAACGGTAAACTTTCCAAGTGAAAAACGAAGTGGAAGGAAGAAAGAAGAGACAAGTGAAAAGAAAGTGGATGAAGCTGAATAGTTTTATAATTTTGTGTGGAGCTGAAATAAAAAAAGAAAAACAAACGAAAAGTACTTCAAAGAAGGAAAAAAAGTAAAATATTATTAAAATAAGTGTAATTTTAAAATCAAAAAACAAAATAAGAAAATCAAAGTGAAGTGGCATTTTTTTTCTCTTGAGAATCTAGAATCTAGAAATGTGTAACTTTTTGAATTTTTAAATGGTCAGCAAGATTTTTCTTTTACCTTACTTACATATGCATATATAATATATGTGAATGTGTTTGTATGTATGGAGATGTATGTATTTTTTGGGAGGTTGTTTAGAAGTTCGTTCTTTTATATGTATGTATGTCTGCATTGGAATATGTATATGTGTGTCTGAGTCTGAGCCATGCTGGGTGTATGTGTTGGGTACACATGCAATGAGACAGGCCAAAGGATTTACCATTTGCTGGTGAATATGCCAGCCAGTTAACAATGTGCCACCACTTGTGTCAATTTAGCTTTCACAGAGTAAGCTCTCTCATTTTGACCAGTTCTCCTCTTTACGACAGTGCGAGTGCCGCCAGTCAGTAACATGGACCCTTACTCATGGAATAATACTGGGTTGCCGTCTTTCATATCCGTTTAGTGTTGCGTGTGGTGAAAATCCAAAGAGCGAACAAACGAGTTGCAGTGTTGTGTTTATTCTCCTCAAATGAGTCTCTATGTCGAACGAAGGCACAAAAGCTTCGGCATTTCAGTGAGTGCGGCAAAAATTCATCAAATTTCATTCTCAGTTTTATTCCGACTGTTTAGGGCGGTTCCGCAAGCAGGTTGCAAAGTAGCCAAAGGATGTGCTTAAGTTAACTGAAAAAAAGGCAAAAGAAAAAAATAAAATTTAAAAAAGTAATAAACATAAAAATATGTAAAGAAAAAGTATACCAACTAAATAAATAAAATAAAAAAAATATATGTATTTACAAAGACCTTAACTATTAAATAAATGAAATCATGATTACATGAGTGGTTGAAAACGTTTTCAGAGGCAAAGAAAAAAATTAATGCACATAAAAAGGTGAATAATTTTCTTTGGAATTTTCGATTTGAATTGAAACACAGAAAAAATAAAGTGTAAAAATAAGTGAAATTGTTAAAAAAAAAAAAAAAAAACAAATCTTTGACAAATTAAAAATAAAATTCCTTGAAGCTGTTTTTTTGGGCGCTGCTTGCTGCTTATTGTGAATGTATAGTATAAAGGACCCTGAAAGTATGCTGTGTAAAATGAATTTTTAATGTAGCCTAATAGAGGCTGCAAAAACGAACTTTCTCCAGAATAATAATTATTTTTGCAAGAAACTAAACATTTGAAATGTGTCTGCATTCCTTTGTTTTATAAATTTGAATTGTGGAGAAAATAAAAAAAAACACCTAGTTTAAGAAATTCTCCCCCAACTCCACAGTGTGAAAAAAAGCAATGAAGAAGAAAGAAAATCCTGCTTACTCTATTTGCTTTTGAAATGCACACACAGAGAATATTTTCCAAGAATATGGGTCCATGTACTGTAACTGTCGCTGTATGTGTGCGTCTGAAAGTGTGTGTGTGTGTGTGTGTCTGTTTTTTGGTGTTTTGGGTACGAGAGTATTGACAGAACCACAATCATGTCAGTTATCCAGCCAAGTTTAACAGCCACACAGTCTGTGTACCAAAATCTACAACAACAAGAAAACGTCAAAAGCGAAATAACAATGCCAACAACAAATATGATAATCACGCAAACAAACAACAAAATAGCATACCACCAATATTACTCATATCCCACACGCACACAAACACAGAGAAGGCATACCAAAATTCAAACAGAAAATAAACACACATAAATATTTACGTGAACATGTGTGTATATCCCACATTTGATATGTGTAAAAAATCAGTCCAAAGAAAATGAACAAAAAAAACGTAGCAACAGGAAAATAAATAGTAACAGAAATTATTATTTTGTTGTTCCAAATTATTAAAATGCAAATGGGTTTTGTTGGCCCCTACAAAAAAAAGAAATCTCTGTAAAACCCCCAAAAGTATGCTACAAATCACATGTTTTAAAATAAAGTTAACTACAATTATCAATGAGCTTACACCACACTAACTGTGTGTCCCTGTTTGTAAGTGCGTGCTCTCTGGCTGCGTAAATATGACAGCCAGCCAGCCAGTCAGTCCGCAGCCATAATGGATGCTATGCTGGTGTGTGTGCGTTATTTAAGCATTTGTTTTTGGCATGCTTTATCTTTAAATCCGTTGTTGTTATTATTCCTTATCTATTTCATTTTGGTGATGTATTTTGCTGTACCAATTCACCGTTGTTGATCTCTCTCTCCCTCTTTTTCTCTCTGTCTGTGACTTTTTCTTTTTCTCTTGCTTTTAACATTTTTACTGCTGTTTTATGTATCATTGTTTCATTTCATCTGAGGGTTGGAAGGGAGGGATTCTGTTATGTGTTGTTCTTTTATACTGCCTCATATTCTTCTCAACGGTATTGGAAGAAAAACGACACAACAAGAAAATGGCAAAATAACAATGGAATCTAACCTACGCACAGACTCAGCATCCTTGAAAGAAACCTTTAACAAGGATTACTGATAAAATTTGTTGGAGGCCAATTTGCCTTCTGCACGTTTTTCTCAATAAAAATACATTCTGTAGTCAATTTTCAAAGTTTTCAATGTTACTAATATCTGTGTTGGTAGACATATAATCGGTAATTTCATTGAAATCCACTTATGCAATTGGGGCCGGTCCCCATTACAGGTAGCAATTATGATCCGACATTTTTCTGGACTTTCTGGAAGATTATGATCAGAATAGAAATCTCTTGTTTTTAGAGATTTTCACAAAATATTTAGGGGTTGAAATGGGTCGCAAACATACACTTTTCCTGATTTTGTAGACTTTCTACAGGTCATTGTTATTTTGGAACAGAACAAAAGCCCTTAATTTTGGATGATCATAGGATAATATTTAAAGGTTAAATGGGCCACGACTTTTGTGTGAAAAATAAAAATTTTTAAATTTTATTGAATGAAAGCAAAAAAATGTCGGATTTAACATCAAATTTTAGAATAAGTTTAGATTTGTTCGAATTGGTCAGCTTTGATACGAATTATGGCCTTCAAACGGCCAATGAACGTGTCACACGCTGCCCGAATGTTGCTCTGCGGTATTTTGGCACTTTCACGGCGAAGCACTTGCATGAGGTGATCGACACTTTGGTATTTTTTAGTGCCAATCTTGTTTTCCAAAATACTCCAGACACAATAGTCCAACGGATTGGTATCCGGAGATTTTGGTGAACATTGTGCGCTGGAAATGAAGCGAGGAACCTCATTTTGTAACCATTCTTGGGTGGCGCCTGCTGAATGCGATAGTGCTGAGTCCTGTTGGAATGTTCAAGGTCTGCGGGCAAAATGTTTGAATGCCCAAGGCTTTAATACACCCTCTAGAATATTTTCACGATAATATTCGGCATTTATTCCGATGCCACGGTCGATTAATACGAGTGGAGAGCAACCATCGACTGTTACGGAGGCCCACACCATCACCATGGTCGTCGCTTGAGTTCTGGTGACCAACCGAACCGTGCACATTTTCAGCTGACCTCTTTGGCAAGTAAACACGATCATACAATCAGCTGAACAACGAATGTTTTCTCATCGGAAAAAATCAGATTCGGCAGTTCACCACTTTCGGCCAAGCGAAGCAACTCTTTAGCCCTTTCTTCTTGTACCTTTTGGAATTTCAATGGCTTTACCCCGAGCTCATTTTTCAATATTTGCCGAAAGGAATATTGCGATATGTTCAGTTGACGAGCCATTTTTCGGCCACTGTGACACTGGTTTCGTTCAAGTCGCTTCTTTACTTTTCGAACCATTTCTGCTGAATATAAAGAAATCTCACTATCACGCTTGAATTCCATCACGAATAACTTTTTTTCTGGAAAATTCTCACCAAAATATTTTTGTACGCTTGTAAACAATATAATGAGCTGTCAGTGGAACAATTTTAACAGCTATCGGACGAGTGGCTTAGAAATGAGAGCAGTCTAAAGTTGGTTGCAGTTTTTTGCACTGATGCAAATATTAGGATTTTTAAAGTTGAAGCAAAATCGGATTATCCGCTTTCTGTGCACCAAAAATATTTTTTGGAATACTTCGACCTTTTGTGTGGGAGGTACCAGAAGAAATAAACTGATATTTTTCATCGTACCCGTACATCTGTCGGCAAAACCGACTTATACTTTTTAACTCGTTTAATTTCTGATTTTTATAATAAAGAATGGATTATCCATCCATTGAGTTTTTAAAAATCGACCATGGGAAATGTCGAATATGGCGACCATTGAAATTGTTGTAACTCCAATACTGAGCTTCTATTTGAATTGAAAGTTTTTATTGCAAGAATTTGTTAGGTAATCTGTTAGGTAAATATTCACATAAACTTAAGTGCCATTGAACAAATAAAAAATCTCTTTGGTTAATTAAATTGTAGCTGCATTACTAATATGCCGAATGCATTTACAATACATAGTTTTTGCATAGCTTCGTTCGTAAAAAAAGACTAATGCAATTTAATTATAAAAAACTCGTCACAGGAATTAATTCGAATTATTTTGTTTTTTATTTCTAATAAAGGGTCTTTGGCAAAATAGTCTTAAAAAGGTTGTTATCCGAAGATTAACAAGTAAAAAAGCAGTAAGTTCATCCGGGCCGAACTTTGAAATCCCCACCACCATTTGAAAAAAATTAGAAAATTTAAAAAAAAAAAAAAAAAAAAAAGCAAAAAAGTCAATAAGTCCATTAAAAAATCTGTTAAAATCTTAAAAGTGCCGAAAATTAGAAGGTGCCGATATATTGGGGGAATATACGATAATGTGGATCTATGTAGACAAACCTATGTCTGGGGGTAAAGTACTAACAAAGAATTCCTTGTGTAGGATTTCAGACAATTCCGTTGAAAAATGTGGCTAAAATCATCAAAATACCGGGGGGTACCGTTATATATATACGATACGGGCTATACGATATCGTGGACCGATATAGCCCATTTTCGAACTTGACCTGCCTGCACACAAAAAACTGATCTGTGCAAAATTTTCGCTTCCTATCTTAATTCGTTTTGACTGTAGCGTGATTACAACAGACGGACGGACTGACGGACAGGGCTAAATCGTCATAGAATTTTAGGGCTAGTTGGGGCTAAAATTATTATTTCGATGAGTTACAAACGGAATGACGAACTTAATATACCCTCCATACTATTTATGGTGGAGGTTATAATAGAGACTGCCTTATATTATTATGACATAATAATGAGAAGCTTTGTGCTAAATTTAATTATAAAATTATTTCATTAAAATTATTACTTTAAGCCCCATTTGTGCAATGCGAATAAAGTAACCAAAAAAATCGACATATTTTAATCCCAAAAAAAAAAATAAAAATAATAATAAAAAATGTATAGTATTTATTTGTTTTTATCCCATTGTGTGGATGAAATTCGCCAAAAATGTTTAAAAGGTATTTACTCTCCTTCGGCACACAGCTTTAGTTAATATTTATTGATGTTGACACAAAGGTAAATCCGTAAATAGAAATGCTTGCAAATAAAACTATGTGTGCATGGATATGTATTCAAAAACACCAACAACAATAGAAAAACATTTCGCAAACAAATATATATTTTTATACCCTCCACCTTGACCCCATAAAGTATATATATATTCATAATCAGCATAAAATTCTAAGTCGATTTAACGATGTCCGTCTGTCTGTCGGTCCGTCTGTCTGTTGAAATCACGATACAGCCCACATTATTTGACATAGAGCACCAAAATTTAGCACAGCAATTTGTATTGTATCTAGGATGGTTGGTATTGAAAATGAGATATATCGGTCCACGTTTTGGTATTGTCCCCATATAACGGTACCTCCCGATATTCGGAATTTTGATGATTTATGCCACATTTTTTCACGGATTAGTCTGAAAATTGGTATATGTAGGTCATAACGGGTCCCTGTGCGTGTGGCAAAACATTACATGTATGGATCCATGGTTGGGTATAGCCCCCATATAACGGTACCTCCCGATATTCGGTATTTTGATGGTTTTTGCCACATTTTTTCACTGAGTTGTCTAAAAATTGGTATTTATGGGATTATGACCCTAGTTCGTGTGGCGAAACATTGTAATTATAGGTCCACGTTTTGGTATAGCCCCCATATGACGATACCTCCCGATATTCGACATTTTAATGGTTTTTGTCACATTTCTTCTAATGTTTCCTTTACCCTAAGGTGGAGGGTATTAAAAGTTTGGCCCGGCCGAACTTAATGTTTTTTTACTTGTTTTTAAATTGAGTTGGTTGGTAGGTATTTCAAGTGGATTTTCTTCTAAAATAAGACACATTGTTCAGATTTTTATTTTTTTATTTACCCTCACACTTTTTATCATATCAATCGGATTATGAATTTACTTGGACTTTCCTGCATCGACTTGAAATTTTTCATACGGTTAGGTTTCCGACCAACAGTGAATCGTATTGAATGGGTCTTGCCTGGGTTTCTAAGACAAGTTGGACCTATTCCCCGCCCTTACAATTATACCACAAAATTTGATAAGGCCTGCCAATCTCACAGATACGACTAAACAAAGACAAATTTCATAATTTAAAGGAAAAATCCAACTTAGTAGAACTATTTTATACAGGCTGTAAAAAAGAGAGATATGCCTGCAAAAATAAACTTTTCAAAATGGGCAGAATATTTGGTCGATTTGGACAATAGTTTCCAAAGATCATAAGATTTCGATCAATTTGTGTATCGTAAACAGGTGAACAAATAGCCGAACATGAATGACCTCCACCATTTGGAGGGAATTTATAAATTCTGGGAATTTTAAATCTGCTAAAATCATATAAATACCGAATTAGACAGGTACTGTTATGTGGGGCATATTCAAAAACCTGGTCCTGCATAGGAAATTTTCTGTCTCAGTTGGTATTACCCAGGGGGAACTTCAAATACGCAATTTGAAACAAGTCAGGTGGTTAATGTGTCTAAAATGATTAAACTACCGAATATAGGGAGGTACAGCTATGTGGGGCCTATACGAAATCTAAAACAATTCATTTACGAACAAAAAAATAAATTAAATCGAGTAAAAAGATATTAAGTTTGGTCGGGTCGAACTTCCAATATTCTCCATTTCTATGCAAAAGTATCTGGATTCAAACGTGTTCCACTTTAGACTACAAACTCTAGTAAGTAAGGGCCGTATTAAAGCGGAAGGAAGCCGTTATAGAAAATTGTATACAACATCACAACGATTGTAATCTATTGCGAACCTTAAACACCAAAAGGTGACTAGGATGACTTGTATAGGTAATGTTTTGACAGCGGTTGTAGAACCCTTTATGAAGTACAAATATCATATATCGTCAAAATACGGAATATCCAAAGGGATATATAGGAAAACATGGACCTAGATAATCAATGCTATGCCACTGGAGCTAGATTCCATTACGAACTACCAATAAATATTTTTAGACAAATCCGTGTAAAAATGTGGGTAAAACCATCGAAATACCGAATATTGGGAGGTACCATTATATTGGAGCTATACGAAGGCATGCACACGTTCCACCATCAGAATTACAAATATAAATATTGTAAGCAAATCTGTTAAAAAAATGTGGCAATAAACATCAAAATACCGAATATCGGGAGGTAACCTTATATAAGGGCTATACGAAAACGCCATCGGAGCTAGAATCCGTGGAAAAATGTGGCAAAAACCATCAAAACACCGAGTACCGTTATATTAGAGTTCTTCCTAAACGTGGACCGATATATCTCATTCTCCTAGACACAATGCAAACCATCCTAGACACAATGCAAACTACTGCGCCAAAGTTTAAAGTGTGCAACAAAGCAGTATCGTGATTTCAACAAACGAACAGACAGACATACAGGCGGAAAGGAATTTATGATGAGATATATATATATATATTTTTTTTTGTTTATATATATATAACAAATGGAATAACTAATTTAATATACCCTCTTTTCCAAGGTGGATAGTGTAAGCAAACAATTTTTGTAGAACCATTTCAAAGGCTATAAAAAAGAAAGATATGCCTGCAAAAATATAGTTTTCAAAATTTGCGATTTTCAGAGACCAAAACCATTTTATTTCCGTCAAAAAATACCGCTCCTATGAAAACCCATTAATGGGAGCTAAACGAAGGCGTGGACCTGCATAAGTAATTTGTGTAATACGCTGTAGTAACAGTTCCGAACTTTATTATTTGAAACAATTTCGATGAATAATGTCGTGCCGTTATATGGGCGCTATACTTAAACGTGAACCTATTTCTAAAATCCTCTTTCGGGGAATTAGGTACTTTGAAGGACTCCTTGCGTCGATTTTAAGACAATTCCATTGAAAAATCTGGCTAAAATTATCAAAATACCGAATATAATGGAATGTCTGTTGTGTGTATTCCTAAAATAAAACTAATTGATAAGTTGAACAAATTCTTATTTTTATTTTAGATTAAACGGCCGAACGAAAAATATTTGAAGTCACGCATCGAAGAAAAACTTGTTTATCAAATATTTGAGAATAAAATCCAATAAAAGATTTGTGTGAATAAAAAAGAGCATGTACTAGTATTGGTGCCTTTGCTTTCGTGTTAAACTAATATAATTAAATTGAAAACAGAAAAACAAGATTTTTTGAAAATTTCGAAGTGTACTAACTACAAGCCAGTGCGACGAAATTGTGAATAAAGCTACGTATTAAAGGTAAGTGTGTGGATAAATTATTGAAAATTATTTACATTATTTTTTGCAAAGCTCATTCTAAAATAAAAATTATATTTAATTATTTACTCTATTATTATTATTATTATTATTATTATTATTATTATTATTATTATTATTATTATTATTATTATTATTATTATTATTATTATTATTATTATTATTATTATTGTTATTATTGTTATTATTATTATTATTATTATTATTATTATTATTATTATTATTATTATTATTATTATTATTATTATTATTATTATTATTTGTATTATTATTATTATTATTATTATTATTGTTATTATTATTATTATTATTATTATTATTATTATTATTATTATTATTATTATTATTATTATTATAAATTATTATTATTATTATTATAATTATAATTATTATTATTATAATTATTATTATTATTATTATTATTATTATTATTATTATTATTATTATTATTATTATTATAATTATTATTATTATTATTATTATTATTGTTATTATTATTATTATTATTATTATTATTATTATTATTATTATTATTTTTTTTTCGTTCGGTCCCAACGCCACTCTTACCCGCCCCTGCCGACCGAGGGGGCCACCTCCCAATACGTAGGGAGCGCGTACACCCCATAGTCCGCACCATGGAGGGTTAGTATTGTAGGGAAACACCAGCTACAGTAAAACATCAGCCGGTTTTAGTAAAAGGATTAGTATTACAAATCACACACAACGAGCAAAAATACAAATCTGGCAGCTCAAATACTATAATTATAAATTAAGTATTGATATTTTTATTGCATGCAAAGGTTCAGATAGTGATAAATTATTATAGAGGTTGTTATATATTTCACATAAAGATCTAAGGGGGTTGCTTAGTTCGTAGTTAGATCTCGCCAAGGAAAGATTTAGCGGTATATAATTACGAGTTATTCTAGACGGAACATTAAACTTTATTTCACTAATTAAAAATTGTGAATCAATTTGACCACGCAAAAGTCGTATTAAAAATATTGCTCTAAGCATTAAACGCCTTCTTTCTAACGATGGAAGGTCTATAAGTTTTAATCGATTTTCATAGGGGGGGAGTGCTTCAGACGGATTCCAGGACAGACCTTTGAGAGCGAATATAATGAATTGTTTTTGAACTGCTTCTATTGAATTAGAGTAACATTTATAAAATGGACTCCACAACACGCAACCATACTCTAATGTAGGTCTAACTAGACTAGTAAACAAGCGTTTAGTTACGTAAGGGTCTTCAAACTCTTTAGACCAGCGCTTAATGAAACCTAGAAGAGACTTTGCTTTATTAACGCTAGATTCAATGTGTAAGTTAAAACGAAGTTTATTGTCCAAAATAACACCAAGATCAATAAATGAGTCTACATTCTCCAATTTGTATGAACCTACGAAGTAATCAGATTGAATATGTCTAGATCTGAATAATGATAATTTTTTGCATTTTTTAAGATTTAGTGACATGCCATTCATACCACACCAATTTACAATGGAATGTAGATCATGTTGTAAATGTAATGAGCTATTGAGAGAATCGAGATTAATGAACAGCTTAACATCATCTGCAAACATTAGAATTTTGGAAAACCTTACAACTGACGGAAGATCATTGAGATAGAGAACGAATAGTAATGGTCCTAAATGGCTTCCCTGAGGAACACCAGAATGGACTAGAATATTTTTTTGAGATGGCATTTGTGAAAGACACCTTTTGAGTACGGTTTTCAAGGTATGATGAAATCCAGTCTAACAATAATGTAGGGAAACCCATTAAATCAAGTTTGTGGAGTAATAAACTATGTACGACAGTGTCAAAAGCTTTACTAAAATCGGTATAAATTACATCAGTTTGAAATTTATTAGCAAAACCATTATGAACATAGCATGTTAATTCCATAAGATTAGTTAAAGTTGACCTACCTCTGATGAAACCGTGTTGACACGGTGAAAAAATTGGAGCCACAAAGTGTGTTAGCCTACGCGAAACCAAAAATTCAAAAAGTTTAGGTATTGCGCTAAGCTTAGCAATGCCTCTATAATTTTCAATATTGCAACGACTACCAGTTTTATGGAGAGGAATTATATAACTAGATCTCCAAAAATAAGGAAAGTAGCCTAAAGATAAAGAGTAATTAAATAATTTCGTAAGTGGTATGTATAATTCAATTGCACATAATTTAAGAACGTTTGCCGGTACTCCGTCTGGACCTGGGGAGATCGAATTTTTTAAAGTTTTTAAACCATTTAAAACCTCTTCTTCCGTAAGCAAAATTTGGGGCAAAAAATTCAGTCTATTAATGTTAAAGCTGTAGTTGCTAGTGGATGTAAATGTTGAATAGCTATTCTGAAAAAAATCTGCGAACATGTTTGCAATATCAGAATCATCGGTAGCCTCTGTGCTGCCGAATTTCATACAGCTAGGGAATTCATGGACTTTTCTTTTAGAATTCACGAAATTATAGAAGTTTTTTGGGTTGCGTTGAAAACTATTTCTAATTCTTTGTAGATATGCCGAATAACATTTTAAATTTTCAGTGTTATAATTATTTCGAGCTTTGGAGTAATTGGAGTAGTTTAAGGATGAGTTAAATTTTTTAAATTTCTTAAAAAGTTTACTTTTGTTATTACGTAAACGTCTTAAATATGGAGTAAACGATGGCGAGCCTCCATTTGGCGCGTAATTTGAACTAGGGACTGTTAGTTTAAAGGCTTCATTTAAGATATTATAAAAATCGGAAATACAATAATCAATATCACCTTCAAGACGCCATATTGTATTGGAAAGAGTAGTACGTAACAAATCAATGTTAATTTTGGAAAAGTTAAAGGATATTTTTTTATTGAGTGGTTTGGATGTTATTTGAGTTTTAAGATCAAGAGTTATATTGAGGGTTGGGTGATAATTATCCTCCGGTTCGACAAACGGTGCACATCTACATAATGAAAGGTTAACGGTTGTGGAGAATACTAAATCTAAAATTCTATTCTTGACATTAAAAACACTATTTATTTGGAAAAGTCCTTGGTCAAATATAGCTTCCCAGAATTCGTCCATTCTACTAGCTGAGCCTGCAGACGATACAGGAATATAGTCTATGGAATTTTGTTTAGGGATCCACGATATACTTGGTAAGTTGAAATCACCAAGACAAATAAGATCAAAATTTGCTGACTTTAAACATGAAACATCCTTCAGAAGCTTTGAGTGCTTAATGTATATTTCAAAGTCTGAATTTGGAGGAATGTAGGAACAAGTTAAAGCAATAAATTTACCACGATATAATAGTTTGACACATATAAATTCTATATTAAAATCTTCAGTGACAACTATTTCAGACGTAATGGAATTATGTACAGCTATTAAAACTCCTCCACCGGTTCTATTTACTCTATCATTTCTATAAACTTCAAATTGGTCAGAAAAGATTTCTGTGTCGTAGATTTCAGGTTTAAGCCAAGTTTCAGTAAATATAAAGACTTTAAAATCAGAACCAAAAGATTTTAAAAAAGTTTGACGAAGTTTTGAGTTAAGACCTCTGACATTTTGGTATAACATTTGTAACGAATCAGATTCTATTAGTTTTTTGAAGCTTGCATAGCGTTAGAAGTACGGACAGGATTAAGTGCGTTACGCTTTTCTCTGAATACAAACTCTTTTACTAAAATGTCATCGGGCCAGAATGAACTATTAATAATAGTATCGAATATGTTTTTGGAAACAACAAGCTTAAACGATGAAATTGCACGAGCAGAGGAGGAATTAAACTTAAAAATTTTAAAATCACTTTCTTCAAGATTATGTATTTTAGATTTAACATAATCACTTATAATATTTATTGTAGTACTAGGATGCAATCTAGATATAAATACGCTTTTTCTAGGAGGAACTACAATTAGGCTACTAGAAGGAAGAGAAGCACATTGCAATGGTGGATGTGCTGTAGGATTTGACGTATAATCACTTACAAAAATAGGGGGGACGCTATGCAAATGATGTGGATTTTGCTGGACATTAGATGGAGCTTCAGAAGATAAGGTTTCGATCTGAGTACTCCGACTTTCACTTGTATTAGAAACAGCCGGTGATGACCTGCTGGACGGCGAAGATGCAAATTGCAACGGAGGCGCCAGATGGTTGTCTGAAGATAAATTTTCAGTATTATTTTGTAGCGGGGCAACAACTGGTGAATTTAGCGATATTAAGTTATTACCAGAAATAATAGCTGAAGATTTTTTTCTTTTGGGCGAACCATCAGGATACTCAAATTTATTATACATATTTTCAAAATAGTTTAAGCGAGAGTAAACAGATTCAAAATCTTTCTTCATGTTTGCAATTTCGACTTTAGACTCCTTAAATAGACGGTAAAAATCAACCTCCAAGGACCTACAATTTATGCACGCCCAGCGAAGTCCATTTTTTCTATCAGTTATTACATCAAATTGTCTACCAGTAAAACCCGCACATTTAAAGTGACCATGATTTTCACATAGCCAACAAGTAATAAAGCGTTCATTTTCATTAGTAATTTTACAATTTTTGTATAAACAGGCCATTGTGCAAAACTTCAAAAAATTATTCTAATGCCTCAAAGTATGCTTTAGATTGTGAATATAAAATTTAGAATTTGGGATTGAAAAACAAGAACAAGGCACAAGGGAGAAAAAAAAAGCGAAACAGACGTAAACAGCAAAAGTAAAACAAAAATATGAGAAGGCGCAAAAACAAAATTATTTTATCACTATTTTGACACAAATCAAATTATTACAAATCATTATTATTATTATTATTATTATTATTATTATTATTATTATTATTATTATTATTATTATTATTATTATTATTATTATTATTATTATTATTATTATTATTATTATTATTATTATTATTATTATTATATTATTATTATTATTATTATTATTATTATTATTATTATTATTATTATTATTATTATTATTATTATTATTAT